ATATATATATATATATATATATATATATATACATATATATATATATATATATATATATATACATATATACATATATATATAATAGATAAAAAAAAACTAATTAATCGCACATTTTTGTCTGAAATTAATCCCACCTAACATTAAAGTTGTTAAATATATATTTTATATTGCAATAATTTCACATTCAATCTATAAATTAATGTAGAAACAACATAAAGACAGTATATTTGTAATATTTGTTTAATGGCATCTTTTTTTATGACTGAAGGCAAGTATCACTGATATCAATACTACTGATGTCTCTATGAAATTTTTTTTTTTCCCTTTAATATTTAACCATTGACTACAGCCATTCAACATTACAGTATGATTGAGAGCTATCAATTTTAACGTTTATTAAACTTTTAAAAATAACAACTCCAGCTGCTCCAGGACAGTTTTGAAAACCATTTCAGAAACATGTTTTTAAATGTGACTGATATAACATACTTGCATGCAGTTTTAATTGCCTTTTTGGTAACTTAATGACTTAACTGACAACATAACTACGACACTGCAAGCTCGTAGTTTCTTTTGCACTTTGATATGAAATGATACAGGCTACAGCGCGCGCCGCCGTATTTGTGCGTGCAATTGAAGTATACCGGCTGACAGGACAGGAAAAATCGTTTTTACTGACATATGGCCTGACAACATCTCATCTGACCGCGGTTCACTGTTGTTCTACTGAAGCTACATAGTCACCTCTACCTTTTCCGCGCTCGTTTGACTCGCGGATGTTGTAGTGTGCGTCTGAAAGTCTCCCGTTTGATGTGGTCGTAAGATGTTCTGGTCGGAGACTTTATGCATTTAAATAAATGCAATACTTGTCAAGAAAAAAGAGACAGCAGTGGTGAGTGGTGTGGCCAACCCTATCTCTGCCCCTGCGTTAATTGCATTAAATATTTTTAATGTGTTAAACTGAAAAAAGTTTATCACCTGCGTTAACACATTAATTTTGACAGCACTAATATATATGTGTGTGTGTTTCTCTTGATTTGGGGCCAAAAATATTTTAGGTTTTGTGAGATTCCGCTAATGAGAAACCCACCTGAATGTGCCTCCAAATATCCTGTCTGGAGTTTAAATTTGGTATTAAATCTGACTTTAACAGTAGTGTAGAGGACAATCTCACCCTTGTAGGGCTTTTTCCCCAAAGGAGTCTCCTTTCCCCATAGAACGCAAGCAGACGGGCTCCTGACCAGGACAGTCCTCTCGAGTCATCGTCACCTGGACAGGGATGAGAACAAAAGAAAGAAATATTAGCATGGGATCATCTTTACAGCATCACTGCTTGCCCTTTCCACTAAAATAGACTTACCTTTCCTTTACTGATAATGAAGAACGTGTCTCCTCTTGCCCCCTGGCGAATGATGTAGTTGCCATCCTCATAGTGGGTCTATAAGAGAGAGAAAATTGGTTAGAGGACGTGAGGATTATATGGAAAAAGAGGATGGAGAAAAATACAGGTGGCACTTTCTACAAAGAGGGTATGAATAGAGGATGTGCAGACGCAAGATCCAGCAGATTTCTAAATGGAAAAAAGGCAGCACAACATCTCTGACCCTCAGTGTGCTAAGACCTTGACCTCCAGACACATCAGTCTGAAATCAGATATGACCAGCAGATAGCAAACTGAAGCCCACAAAGACTCTGATACAAGCAAACTCTGTTCTAACATCACCTAGAATCTGACCTCCAACAAAACACCCACACATACACACCTGCAGTCACAGGAGAGAGAATTTTGATTTATTATCCAGAAAATGATCATAAATGTATAAATTATCAAAACTACCAAAGTACCAAAACTAATTAACAAATACTTGTACTTTATGGCATTGCGAAATCTATTGCAAATAATAAAAAAGTTTGAACAAAATGTACTTAATTTTAACATATTTAATATATGTGTGTGTGTGTGTGTGTGTGTTTTTTTTTTTTTTACTTACGACAGATTTCACAATGCTTAAAAACTCTTAATTGTCCTTAGGCTTATTTGTTCATGTTTATTGTATTTTGATTGATTTTAATTAATAAAATCAATAAAAGTAAATGTTACATAACAAAACCCCTATATACTGATTACTATATATGATGTAATTTTGTAGATGTGTGTTTCAGAACAAGCAGACTTTACTGCATTAATGCAGTTTTGGATATCCATAACTTAAATTACAGTAGATATATTGTAATGGTCCCAAAAGTTGTAACACAATTAAGAATGAATTAAAAATGTATTCATTTCAAAACATAACAATGTTTGAGAAGAAAGTCCAAATACTTTTTGTCTTTAACATAACAACTTTAACATAACTTATTTTATAATTTAACACAGTTTATATGAGCAATTAATGGAGGAGTAGCATCAAATATAAGTGACCACAAAGATGATGACGGAAGGAAAGATTCCATCCATGTGTCTAAACTTTCATTCCCCAGAACTTCCGGTATAATTAACATATGCAAAATTAACATTTAAGTTAAAAAAGCTTCAGCAAATTTCAGTCTCATTGAAGGTCAATTATTAGCTGAAGAGACTCCCCTCCACTCTCTACAAATTCATAGAATTTTTTTAAACAAATCACATCACAAAAAAAAAAGAACTGGAATGAGAGTTTGACCTGAATTTTAATAAATCATCATCACTGAGAGATGATGATTGATAGGTGAGTCATTTTAATGACACAGAGCTCACAGTGCCATTAAATACTCTCATTATTTGATCTTACTTCGTCACATCTGCTCTTCTGTTGTTGGTTTGTTAGTGAACGTTATAAATGAGAGTTCATGTCTGAACCAGTGGGTTAAGGTTTTCCCGGTTAGCATGAACCAGCTAACCCCTGCTGGTAGATGCCGTAAATTCAGCTTTCTGTTGCCAAAAAACATCTTTAGCCATTGAAGCCCATTTAAAAGTAACGGTTTTGACAGAAATAAAAAATATTAGCAAGCAACAGTGTTGTCATTGTTAACTAAAAGCTATTAAAAATATTTTGGTACTCAAAATAAAGCTAAAATAAATCAAATATAAATATTAGATGAAAAGTTAAAAATTATAAATTTTGCTTTGGTAAATAACTGAAAGAAATTTAATTTGAAGTAGAAAAAGGACTAAAACTACTTGAAATTAATTCAAGTTAAATAAAAATATATATATTAAAAAACAAAAACTAATCAAATTAAAAAATGTAAATGAACAAAATAAAAAAAAATACAAAATCAAACAATTCAAAATATTAATCAATACTATAATAGTATATAAATAATACTAAAATTGGCAAGCAAAGTAAAAAACAGTGAATAGGTCATTATATTATAGTAGATATAATATACCAGAGACCAACATTATAAAGTGTATGTCAGAAACTGAGCAGTATCCACTCAATCTACTCTGCTGTCAATGTTTCATGGTTGCTCTCTAAAAAGTACAAATCTGATAGTGCCTGTATTAGACATATTAAACATAAATGTAATTACTGTAATAATACGAGCCAAACCAATTTCTGTGTTGTTGTGTTATTGTTATGAGGCTGTGAATCATGTTTTATTACAAAGGCCGGACCACAGCCACTGCAAGATTATTAACAAATCCACACAGAATGGAAAACAACAACCTTTCACCCCTAAACACAGGGAGCTGTGAGTCTCCATCACTCCCTCCCCAGTGATAAATGTCGTATTCTAACGAGGTGAAGAGAGAGGTGATGTGGACCTTTATGTCTGCGAATGATAGACTGACTGATGACTAAGATATTCACAATGTCTACAGCTCATCTTCTCATGCTATTCTTGGATGAAATCATTGATTTTTCTCCTTTGATGCTTTGCGCAAAGTGGACCTCATACAGAGAAAGAGTATAAACAACTTATGATTCATTCCACTACAACTTACTGAACCACGTGCATTCACTATAAGACAAGAAAGTCTAAAAATGCACCCTAAATTACTAATGGTATGAACAAGGAGCCTTTATAACTTGAGTTGTGAGTCTTTCTTGCTGATAAACAGTCCCTGATGGAATTTGCTGATTTTATTCACTTTTAAATATGAGGCTGCAAATAATCAGTGGATAAAATAATTTTTTTCCACTGTACCACAGCAGTACAGCCCCAATCTTTTTTTGTGTTCCCGTCATTTTACTGACGACTGCTTCTCTAATCTCAGGTAGTTCAACGCGGGATTCACAAAATGCTTGCTCTTAAAAGATGGCTCAGTACCCTGTTTATTTGGTCCAGCTGGCTCCACTGAATCACAACCTGTATGATAAATAATAAAAGGGTTATGTTTTCTATCAAAATACGGAACTATGGGCATATTGTATCCGACACACGGTTAACCAATCACAACAGACTGGGCCATGTGACCAATCAGAGCAGAGTAGGCTCATGGAAAGGAGGGGTTTAGAGAGACTGAATCTTAGAACTTCTTTTTTTGGTTTCTTTACATTGAGCTTATCTAAATAAAATTACAAGCAAATAAACCACAGCTAGGGTGGTGCTTGTAAAGTTTGAATGTTGAGTGATCAGTGCACAGAGATGTAATTGCTTAGATTTAATTACAGTTGTGTTTGCTTAAGGATCAGGAACATTTCCGTACCTCCTCAAGGACATCAGCCAGCTTGCTCAGTATTTCTTCTGGAAGACCCCGGAACGTCAGGACACTGTCAATCAGAGACACTTTAGTTCATTACGTCATTGGAAATCTTTTGTTAAAATGAAACAATCACATCTGTAAATGTGTGATGAATTAGATCCTTATCCAAAGCTGAAGAGTCTTTTGGTGTTTGTTAATGTCATGCAAGTTTCATTTCATTTCCTACACTTCATGTAATTCCGTACTTATTTTCACTGTACATCGGGTGAATTTTTAGGCTGACCATATGGTTGAAACAGCTGGTCATCATCACATATTGCAATAAACTCAGAGCTGCTCTCTGCCACGGAAACAACAATAATATCCCTCAATCACCATAATAAAACATTTCTAAATATATCTGGTCATGTGTAATGGAGGAAAAGGTTTGCATCTGCCTAATCTGTATACGCGGAGCTAATTTGCCACAAAGACAAGGCATTATCTACATTACTTAATAAAAGCTGTAATTTATCTCAATCTAAATAAATCATGTTTAGGATGAAATGGCAGGAGAGGCCGACTGATCCGCTGTCCTGAGGGACAGTAGATTGTCCCTGATGAGATCTGGGCATCTTTGTCTGTTGCATTAGCAAACGCACACACATTTAAAGGGACGGGCTGCGTCCATGTTTCACTGTCGTGTGTCATGAGATGATCATACATCAATAACTACTCCTGCATAAATATTTCATATGCCATAAAAAATTCAAGAGTCCATTAAAGTCTCCTATTACAATTTAGCGTAAGACTGCAGCAGAGAAACCTAAAGGTGCTATGCATACACACAAGCCATTCTGGGCTAATATTTGGTCTGAAAATGACAGGATTTTTATTTTATTTAATCATTTAGTTTGAAAAGGCTGCTGATGAACTTTTAAGAAATCATATCCCACCCCCTGAGATTAAAAATACCAGGCCTGTAACCATCATATATATTTTGGGACCACTACAGGGGACGCATCCGCCCAATATTAAAGGGATAGTTCACCGGAAAATGAAAATGAGCCCATGATTTACTCACCTTCAGGGCATCTTAGGCGTATCTAACATTCCTCTTTCAGACGAATCCAATCGGAGTTATATTAAAAATGGTCCTGGCTCTTCCAAACCATTCAATGGCAGTGAATGGTGCCCCTGTTTTTGAAGCCGAAAAAAGTGCATGCATCCATCATAAAACTACTCCACACGGTTTCGGGGTGTTAAAAAAGACCTTCTGAAGCGAAACGATGCTTTACTGTAAGAAAAATGTTGGGAGTTTTTTATTTATAAACTGTAATCCCCAGCTTTCGGTCGCTCAAGCAGGCGTGTTCAAGACAAGGCGTTCGAGCGTATGACGTAGGTGTAGCGAAAGGCGTAACGAAAGTTCCAGGGAGAAGAGTGTAGTCTCGCGAGAACCAAGTTTTGTTTACAGCACAGGGAAACCAAGTGAACTACATCTGTAGTACATCTGTGTGCCGCCACCGTTGCAGCCTCCTCCATCTCGTGGAGTTCCTGGTCGGTATACTCTGGTTCAAACAAATATGGCTGGGCAAAAAATGTATTATACTCCTCTGACATTTTTGGTTTCTCCTCCGCGTTCGTCACTCTCTCCCCGGAGCTTACGTTGCGCCTTCCGCTACGCTTACGTCATACGCTCGAACACCTTGTCGTGAACGCGCCTGCTTGAGCGACCGGAAGCTGGAGATTACAGTTTATTAATTTAAAAAAAATCTATATTTTTCTTACACTAACGCATCGTTTCGTTTCGTAAGGCCTTTATTAACAGCCCGAAGCCGTGTGGAGTAGTTTTATGATGGATGGATGCACTTTTTTTTTGGCTTCAAAAACAGGGGCACCATTCACTGCCATTATACAGCTTGAAAGAGCCATGACAATTTTAAATATAACTGCGATTGTGTTCGTCTGAAAGAGGAGGGAGAAGAGTGTAGTCTCGCGAGAACCAAGTTTTGTTTACAGCACAGGGAAACCAAGTGAACTACATCTGTAGTACATCTGTGTGCCGCCACCGTTGCAGCCTCCTCCATCTCGTGGAGTTCCTGGTCGGTATACTCTGGTTCAAACAAATATGGCTGGGCAAAAAATGTATTATACTCCTCTGACATTTTTGGTTTCTCCTCCGCGTTCGTCACTCTCTCCCCGGAGCTTACGTTGCGCCTTCCGCTACGCTTACGTCATACGCTCGAACACCTTGTCGTGAACGCGCCTGCTTGAGCGACCGGAAGCTGGAGATTACAGTTTATTAATTTTAAAAAAATCTATATTTTTCTTACACTAACGCATCGTTTCGTTTCATAAGGCCTTTATTAACAGCCCGAAGCCGTGTGGAGTAGTTTTATGATGGATGGATGCACTTTTTTTGGCTTCAAAAACAGGGGCACCATTCAACTAACGCATCGTTTCGTTTCGTAAGGCCTTTATTAACAGCCCGAAGCCGTGTGGAGTAGTTTTATGATGGATGGATGCACTTTTTTTTGGCTTCAAAAACAGGGGCACCATTCACTGCCATTATACAGCTTGAAAGACCCATGACAATTTTAAATATAACTGCGATTGTGTTAGTCTGAAGGAGGAATGTCAGATACGTCTAAGATGCCCTGAGGGTGAGTAAATCATGGGCTCATTTTCATTTTTGGGTGAACTATCCCTTTAGCAAAGTACCATCAGATATTAATTTTTACAAATATTTTTAATTTATATATGTTATTTATGTACTGTAATATGAATAGATTATTCACCCAGTAATAAAATCACACATTTGTATTTTTTTAAATATATTATTAATAACGCAAAACTTTTCTCTTTCAGTCATGTTATATTTGTGCCAATCATGTTACATTTAAAATGTTAAGGGGTTGAAGGTTATTACAAAAATGGATAATAACAGCCTTTGCTGGCAAGCACATCATTATTCTTGAGCTTTGTACCAAGAACAAATTTTCAGTAAAAAAACTGAACTATGATTTTGATTTTTCACCAGAGAAACTTAGTGCTGACATGATGAAAAAAAAACATATTTAAAATATTATAAAATATTATTTATAAATATTAAATATATTATTTACACATAAAATGTTTTTATTATTATTTTAAATTATTATATTTTGCATTCAGAACTAAACAGATAAATAGTAGCCTATATCAGCAGAAAATCATGGCATCACACATGCACATTGTTTCATAATAATTCTCTCAGATTCTGGATTAGATCAGGACTAAATATGAAACCTAAATTTCATATTGGTCTATAAACCAGATCAGTAAAATGCACAAGTTCAACTCAGCATCTAATGCATTCGCATGCACTCTGCTTTTGTTTGTTAACGGCTGTTAGTTCAAAGCATAATTGACAAAATTAGGTCTAATTATTCAAATAATAAATACAGCAGCAGGGATGGGGTAATATCATTAACATTAGATGAAACCACATTAGATGGATCATTAAAAACGATTGCATTACTATTCATTTTTCTCATGTTAATACATAAGACAGAGACTAAGAGAGAAAGCAAGAGCGAGAGAGAGAGATCATGAAAGGAGTAGAGGAAGGAGATCGGGAGCTATAGAGAGTTTCTGTGGCAATGAATTTCAGAATCGTCCAAGAAACTCATTTGTTCTGCCTCAGTGTCTTTAAAGTCTTTGATGAAGACTTCTTTCATCCAGTTTGGCTCAGTAGCCCAACAATGCAGAATTCTGTCTTTAATATGTAAAATATGCCCCATGCTCTCTTCTCTGTGTGCCATTATGCAAATTATGATGTCAGATGATAAAGAAAGAGATGCACTTCCATAACAAGACAGCTGTTTACCTTTTCAATAACTCCATATTTTCTGCATGTTTGATGAGTCCCGTCCTCATCATGATGGTCTGGAAGCACTGTCTGTCGATGGCCCATAACTTCACACTGGTCACAGCTGAAACACACATCAGAAAACACGCCATCAGTTTGTGAATGCAATTTTCTAATCATCAGCACCCAACGCTTTCTTGCAATATGAGCTGATCATGAAATGTTGAAATTTTTTGTCAAATGATTGTGATTAAAAATGTAATCGTCTCTTTTATTCATGTCACCTACAGTGTAAGTGTATTCATATTTAACTTTCTTAACTTATTTCGCTACTTTTATTGTGTGTGTGTGTGTGTGTGTGTGTACCTGTTTTTCTATTCTGGTGGGGACTTAAACCTGAACACACACAGACTCATGGGGACTCGTGTCACGGTGGGGACCTAAACTGAGGTCCCCACGGGTAAACAAGCTAATAAATCACACAGAATTAAGTTTTTTGAAAATCTAAAAATGCACAAAGTTTCCTGTAAGGGGTAGGTTTAGGTGTAGGGTTAGTGTAGGGCAATATAATATACGGTCTGTACAGTAGAAAAACCATTACGCCTATGGAGAGTCCCCACAAGGATAGCAAACCAGACGTACGTACATGTGTGTGTGTGTGTGTGTGTGTGTGTGTGTGTGTGTGTGTGTGTGTGTGAAATTTAATTTGGGTGACAACCACAAAATTGAATGCAATAAACATAGTAAATCATATAACTGCTGAATCCAAATAATGATAATCAGCAGTCATGTGACTAAATATTTACAAACATTTCAGCATAGACTGCTGGGTATTTCGTCATTAAAGTGTGGAATCGAAGGAGGAACGCAAGGACTGAAGACAGCATTCCTGAGAAAGAGATGATATTCTAGGAAAGTATGTTTGATTATAGGTGTAGGGTTAGTGTAGGGCAATATAATATACGGTCTGTACAGTAGAAAAACCATTACGCCTATGGAGAGTCCCCACAAGGATAGCAAACCAGACGTACGTACATGTGTGTGTGTGTGTGTGTGTGTGTGTGTGTGTGTGTGTGTGTGTGTGTGAAATTTAATTTGGGTGACAACCACAAAATTGAATGCAATAAACATAGTAAATCATATAACTGCTGAATCCAAATAATGATAATCAGCAGTCATGTGACTAAATATTTACAAACATTTCAGCATAGACTGCTGGGTATTTCGTCATTAAAGTGTGGAATCGAAGGAGGAACGCAAGGACTGAAGACAGCATTCCTGAGAAAGAGACGATATTCTAGGAAAGTATGTTTGATTATTGCCTCTCGGTTTACTGAACTGTTTTCTGCAAAACTGTGCACTTTTTTAAGACGTGAGTTGTCTTCAGCTGTCTATGAAACAGAAACTACTGTGTGATATTAAAAACTTCAATGATATATTGAAACCTTGTTTTTTGAGAGGGCTGGACTGTTGTCAAATTGACAAACTGGTTTCGTGCATATTATAGTCATCGCTAAAGTGATAAAAACAAGGTGACATTGATGTATGTGAAAGTGACTATTTGGAAATGATGCCTTATTTAGTCAAAATGTGTTTATTAGTGATTTGCATTCACACAAAAAAATACTGAAGTGCTTCAAAATGCAGAGAGAGAAAAGCTCCAGCAGTGATGAAAAATAATCAGAAAACACTGAAGCATAAATAAACAGTGAGCTTTTACATATGAATACAGTCACTGACTCACCTCACGCAGGGGAATTCATCTGAATTTATGATGGGCTCAAATATTTTAATAGACTCTGATAACAACAGGAAATAAACAGACTAAAATACTAATATACTAACTTGGCACATGAGTTATTTATCATGTGAACTGTAAATACATTCATTATTTATCACACCAAGACACACACCCAAGCCTAAGAACCACAGCATCTAGATGAACAAACAGTTTGTTGTTAGATATAGAGCATGAATGTACATTCCAAATGTGAAAATCAAACTCATTGACACTATTAAAGTCAGCATGAAATGAAAACTCACCGTCTATTTTGTAAATGCAAGACAAACTGAACATGGAGTTTGAGATTAATTATAGTTTAAGCTTCAGCATAATTTAATTAATTAATTAATTAAAACAAAACAAAAAACATGTCAGTTTTCCAGTAAAGAACTACATTATCCATAATCCTACAGAGGATTAATCAGATAAGTCATTGTTACCACAGAAAAATATGGCACCAAATTAGCTCAGCAACAACCTACCACTTCCATAAAGTATTGCACATTATGAAAATATTTGCGATGTGTATCTGTTAGGTGCTATCCTTGTGGGGACTCTCCATAGGCGTAATGGTTTTTCTACTGTACAGACCGTATATTATATTGCCCTACACTAACCCTACACCTGAATTCTACGTTTGCAATAAAAATTTAAAATATATTGCATTTTATTCAATAGTAAAATAGTCACTGTAAGTCAATACTTACTATAGTCAATGCACTAAGTCAATACTTATGTTGTACCAAATTCACTGTACATTAAAAAAGTCAAAAAATATCATTTAAAAAGTACAGCAGACTTTGGAAAAGCAAAAGGCCATTTTGCAAATGCTCCAACAAGATGGCAACTGTTGACCGTGGTGACCATGTTTATTATATTTGCACACTGATTTTTTGCTCCATACTGTACATTGTAATACATGACAGGGAATCAGTGGGAAATGTCACAGGCACTCGATTATTTGATTATTCCTCTTTCATTTCTAAATGTTACAGACCCACTGTTATGAAGATGTTTGAGTGGAGGAAATTTCATAGAACTTGCTAGAATACATGTGTACACTCACACACAAGGTCAAACAGTGATGTTTTCTAAACTATTATGTACAATTGACAATGTTTGCCAGCATGGGCTGACAATACCCATACACAGTCTTAGGTTATGTACTCTAAAACAAAGACGAGCTATTGGTTAAAAAACATTTGACAGGAAACAATTCATGCAAAGTAAATAAATGGCTAAAACAACATCTGGTTTTGAGAACATTAAACTATTTCCTCTTGCTTTGTGTATTTAAAAGTTCTGATGTTACTTTGGTTCTGTAAATGAAATACATTCCTTTAGCTCAAACAAAAGTGCATGGCTTTAGCAATGCAAAGGTTATGAGTTCAATTCCCAGGGAATGCAATGTAAGTGTAAATGAAAGTAAATGCATAAATGTAAATGGTGCCTTAGTGCCTTCAAGAAATAGTCCACATAATCCTCTATCTATAATGTGAAAAAGTCATCTCGTATGAATCAGGAGCAAATTATGCACAGATCAACCACAGTTTACAAGCAAAAACAGTCCAAAATCTAAACAAATATGTTGGTGGATTTTGATGTGAGAGAACAACAGGGGATGGACTTTTTCACTGGAGAAAGCATTATTATGGATTATGGACTGGTATTTTGGCCAAAAATGCCTTAATAAATTTGTTTCTTTCAAACAGGCAGCTTTTCACTTCACAAGACATTAATTGCTGACAGATTAATCGAGTCATGTGGATTATTGTGATGTTTATCAGCCATTTGGACTCTCATTCTGACGGCACCCATTCACTGCAGAGTATCCATTGGTGAGCAAATGATATAATATTAATTTTTTTCCCAATCTGTTTCAATGAAGAACAAACTCTACATCTTGGATGGCCTGACAGTGAGTACATTTTCAGAAAATTTTAATTTTTGGGTGAACTATTCCTTTAATTAAATATTTTAAATGCATTTGTGATGACATGATTGAATCACACAAACAACATTCAAAGGTAATCAGAAATGCATGTGACCCCATTGCACTTGTTTTGTAAACACAAATAACCATCCAGTTGAAAGATTTGCCCATGCACACAGCTTAAGCTTCTTGAGTATGTCTGATATCAGTGGTGCTTGACAAAAATAACAGCGAGCGTGTTTGTGCTAAGAATACAATTCAGGTATATTTAGAAACTAAAGTGTGCAGACTTTTGTGTGCTTCATCAACATGAAGTAACGCGGATGTAGGAAGTGTCTGTAGGGACAAAATCATAGACTTTCTTCTCGAGAAAATGCACCAGCAGCTGTGACAAAAGTAAGCTCAGCTTCATTAATTACACATCACTAACAAAACTTTGTACAGCTCTGTTTATCTTTTAATGATATAAGATGCTCTCAGTCATTTATTCAAATCTCAACAGGATCGATAGTTTTACTGAATGTTGTCATAGTTATCTGCCCAAGGAAACTGTGTTGTTCTGAACAGAGGAAAAAAGAGATAGCGGCCCAACAGAGCCAAGATTGTTATTTGTTCCTGTAGGTTTTTAGAAATCATCACCTCTGTCAAGTCAAGACACGCAGCCTGAATGGACAGCTAATATTCTCTCAAGACCACAGTTTTAGGACTGCAGGTTATATTGGTGTCATCATGCTGCAGTTTTATAGTAAATGTTGCTGCAAAGAGAATTGTGTGACTGTACCATGCTCAAGCAACATCAGTAGCATGCATTTGTATTTTTGTATTTATCTTTACACAGGCATCCTAATCATGCTATCAATCTTATGCACGGCCAACAGTCATGGGAACAGTACTGTGGAATAGTTCACTTAAAACTGAAAAACTGCTGAAAATTTACTCACCCACAGACTTAAACTCATACATCTAATTTTGCTTTCCATTTAGTATGTTTTGATTGATTTTTCTTAATTACAGATACGCCTACAAATGTGTTAGACTGATGTTGATCCAAGTTCATCCGACTGATATCTGACAAAGGATAAACAGAATTCTCTCCAATACATCTATCACAACAGGTATTGCCAAGACTGAAATCAGTTTTGTGCCTGACTGACTTCATCGGGTCTGAGCTAAATGCTTTAGATTTTCATCTGACACCTGTAGTTTTTTTCTGCCTGGAGGGAGAGAAAGAGAATAAGAGTGAGAGCAAATAACAAAAAGAGCGGTATGAGCCACACAACGGAGAGACAGACAGTCCTGGCAGATTTATTATGTAGTGAAAAACAGCCGTTATGCAGGCGGTGACTTTACTGTTTAAAACACCCACTCTCTACTGTGTATTAAAGAGAGAGAGAGCTCCTGTTTGGAT